CACCGGACAGTAAGGGAACACTTCACAGCCATGGGATACGCATCTTCCTCCAAACACATAGGAGGATGGAGATGGGCAGGGCACCACTCCACCTCCTTCAGGATGAAGCCATGGCACAGGAGAGCAGGAGAAAACAGCGGCTCATGATGTGGAGAAGAAAGCAGGAGAAGCAGAAGACATCAGCTGGCCGTGTTCCCAGCCAGCACAGGCTGGCACCTTGCTTCCCTCCCTCGACTGCAGGAGGGCACGAGGGTGCTCAGCCCCTCTGGAAACTCTGGCCAGCAGCTCCATCCTCAGTCCGGCACCTGGCTTTGGGTTCCTGGTCGATGCACTCACGGGACGTCCAGCCCGGCTCTAGCAGGGCAGGCACCTTCTGCCAGAGTAGCGGCCACCAATGCCAGAGAGGCCAAAGCCCCCGGAGTTGATGGGCACTCCCTCCTCACTCAGGATGCTGCCAACAGCAGCGGAGGTGGTGGATCCCACGGCGGTGTTCTGGGGGAAGGAGCTGAGGATGGGGCCGGGCAGGGTCACCACCACGGGAGAGGGTTCGATAATCACCCGGGAGTCCTGGCACTGCCTGACGCAGCGCTCGTTGCAGCTGTTGGCAAGCGGGGTTGGGCCACAGGGACGGCACAGATCGTAGCAGGACATGGCGGCGGGTCGGAGGTGCACCTGGGAGAGAGGGCAGGGAAAGCACAGGCAGCATGTGAGGCACCGCCTGAGAGCCGGCTCGCCAGCAGAAAAGGCACAGCCTGGGGAGCAGGGACAGCCTGCACAGGGAGCAAGGGAGAGTCAAGGGACCTGGTCCCCAGGGAACCCCTGCCTAGAGAGCCCAAGACCTTCACCCACATCCCATGGTGGTGGCGAGGAGCTGAGAGACAGGAACACAACCAAAGAGCGACGGTCTGGGAAAAGCAATAGCGAGCCCAGAAGACAAAGAGGAGAAGAAGAGAAAGAAGAGTGGGGCAAGGCGGTTGCAGCTCACCTTGTTCAGCAAGGAGGAGAAGGCGAGAGAAGTGGATGAGGGACTGTGCTGTGGCACTGGCTTTTATACTGGCCCAGACCGCCCCAGGCCCAGAGGCGCCCTTTGCACAGGGAATGTGTTTACCAACAAGCTCATCTCGCATGCAAAGCAGCACAATTACAGAAATGGGGACACTGCTTATGTCCCCTGCAACGCTGCCTTTTCATTTCCCTGTCCATCACAGCCCCTTCAGGCACACGGGCTCCTTTCAAGTGACAGCATTAGAGGCCAAAGCCTTTCCAGGGGAAATGACACGTCAGCACAGGCAGGTGATGCCCCACTGATGAGGACGGCCCCACTTCACCTCTTAATGCCAGTCTCCTGCCCTCCAGGGCCTCACATTAAAGTGTTTCCTGATGAAAGGGGAGGTCTCCACTTAACCCTGAGTTTTCAGCTTGGACAGGCACAGCCAAGGGTCGGCACCATCAGTCGCTCGCTCTCATGCTCTGCTCACACACACTGCATTAGGCATCGCCTTTCCAGCCAGGGCACCTCTGCCTTCGCTTTAACTTTGGACTCTCTCTCTCTGAGCTTTGAACTCAGCAGAAGCTGGCCTGACTCCTTTGCCATCATCCCTGTCTCTTATACACATCTTCCTGGCACTGCCTGACGCAGGGCTCGTTGCAGCTGTTGGCAAGCGGGGTTGGGCCACAGGGACGGCACAGATCGTAGCAGGACATGGCGGCGGGTCGGAGGTGCACCTGGGAGAGAGGGCAGGGAAAGCACAGGCAGCATGTGAGGCACCGCCTGAGAGCCGGCTCGCCAGCAGAAAAGGCACAGCCTGGGGAGCAGGGACAGCCTGCACAGGGACAAGAGAGGATTAGGAGATCCAGCCTTACACTTCCCCTGGAAAGAGACACTAACACTTGATCTTGCTTCCCAACAGCATGGCAAAAAGAACAGAGATGCTGTGAGCAGGATCGAGGACCACAGCTCTCAGCAAAAGCCACACCAAGGCAAAGACTCAGTTGAGGCCAGAAGAGATAAAGTAGAAACACAAGGAAAAGACAAAGGCGTTGCAGCTCACCTTGTTCAGCAAGGAGGAGAAGGCGAAAGAAGTGGATGAGAGACTGTGCTGTGGCACTGGCTTTTATACTGGCCCAGACCGCCCCAGGCCCAGAGGCGCCCTTTGAGCATATAATGTGTTTACCAACAAGCTCATCTCGCATGCAAAGCAGCACAATTACAGAAATGGGGACACTGCTTCTGTCCCCTGCAACGCTGCCTTTTCATTTCCCTGTCCATCACAGCCCCTTCAGGCACACGGGCTCCTTTCAAGTGACAGCATTAGAGGCCAAAGCCTTTCCAGGGGAAATGACACGTCAGCACAGGCAGGTGATGCAGCCAGCAATGAAGACAAGACTCTACCACCCCACCAGCTCTTACCATCTCTTTGCTCTCCAGGGCCTCACTTTAAGGCTTCTCCTAATGAACAGGGCATGTCTTCTGGCAACTATGAAATGCAAAGCCAGACTTAAAAAATCTTTTCTGTGACAGGAGTCACCATATCCATTGCGTAACCTAATATCTAACTCCATCAAATTTAGATATGAATTCCCCAGTCACCTTGGATTCCCTGGAAAGTTAAGGCTTAGCAATTAAACATCAAGAGAAACCCTTATGATCTTTGGCCTTCCTTAGCTTATCTGGAGAGCCTCCAGCAACCCCCGAGTCAACAGGAGAAGGATGTTAGCGAAGCAGAGACATTCCTCTCCGACACACACTAATCCTACTCCGCCCCCCACACCCAGCGCCAAAGGCCAGGTTTGGGCCTTCCCAAATGTTTCTTCTTCTGCTTCAAGGCTACCAAACATTTCTTCTTTGTGCCTCTACACTAATTCAATAACAGGTACTGCGAAAAGCTTGTAAAGCTTTCCGTCAGACATCAAGACTCATCACAAGCGCTCATGGTCTGGCGATGTCAGCAGGAACACACTGGAGGCAAGGAGACAGCAGGATGTGCATATCCCACAGCTTCGTGCTAGTCCCTCCATCAGAGGCTACAGTGAGGGTGTGCCAAAAGGCTCCAACGTGCTGTTGCACCCAGGTCTCTCTGGTCACGTACCACAGGTGCTGCCTGCCCTCCCTGGTTCCATGTTTTCACCCATCCATGCTTCTGCTGCCATCTCCCTGTGGCTCAGGAGTGCTGATGGAGGGAGCATTTCCCCGCGGCCTTCTTGCACAGCGGGCACAGGGGGGTTGCTGACAGCAGCTCTTGCAGGGAAGACAAAGCTTTAGCTATGGGGAAAGGCAGTGTGGGGGTTCCCACGGTGTATGGGACAGCAGAAGAGGGGCTCCTCACTCTACGTGAAGCAGGGTTGGGGGGCATTGGGCACAACATCACATGGAGGACCAGGGTATGTGGCAGGAAGGGACAGGTGGCTGCTTCTCTCCTACGTCACCACCTACGTCACAACTCCAAGCATGAGCAATGTAACTTCCCTCCCTGATGTGGGTGGACTTGCAGTCCAGGGCAGAAGGACAGGAAGAAAAAAAAATGTCCAGATCCTGAAGAATTACTTTTTTTCCTCCTCTGGTGAGCCAAGGAAGAGAGAAGGACTTGCTCAATGCCCTCGCCTCAGTGTCACGGGCCACATGCCGTGCAAACTCACCATCAGTGACTGAGCAGCTCCTCCAATGTTGATTAGTACCTCCAAAACGGAGCTGGGAGGCACAAAGAGATGATCTCAGGTCAGAAGTGAAGGCTAACAACTCCTTGGGCTTCTGTCACACATCACACACCTCTTGGGGCAACAGAAGGTGTCGCAGGGGGTTGCTGAGAGACAAAACGAGTCTCCTGTTCAGGACAAAGGCTTGTGGGTGACTTCGGATGGTTTTGTCAAATACAAAGGACGTTCCCCTCCAGGTGACCATCTCAGTGGGACACCCACTCAGTGCAAGAGCACCACATTCTTTCAGCCACACTTTTAGCCTGTTTGGGATCACGTTGGCTAATGCAGCCCACTGTTGTAACCTCGGTGTTTTTAGACAAAATGTTCTCAGCAGGTTGAGGGAGTTCATCCTTCCCTTTCGCTCAGCAGTCATGAGGCCACGCCAGGACTACCGTGTCCAATTCGGGGCTCTTCAGTGCAAGAGAGACATGGGCATAAGGGAGGGAGTCAAATGGAAGGTCACGCAGATGATTAAGGGAATGGAGTGTCACCCGTGTGAGGAAAGACTGAGAGCTAGGAAGAGCAGGACTGGGTGCAGGGGGGCTTATTGATGTATTTAAATACCCAAAGGGAAGGTGCAACGAGGAAGGACTTGGGCACATTTAAGTGCTGCCCATAAAGGGACATGAGACAATGAGAACAAAAGGAACCATGGAAAGATCCATTTCAAAATCAGGCACCACTTTTCTACTGTGAGGGTCACCAAGCGCTGGAATATGTTGCCAAGGGAGATTATGGAGTTTCCATCTAACAAATACCCAAAAGCCATTTGGACCTAGAGAAACTAGATACAGATGGAGCTCTTTCAGGAGGGGGTTGGACCAGATGACGTCCAGAACGCCCTTCCAAACTCACTTATGCTGTAATTATGTGATTTTTAACTGAGCACTTCAGCTGGGCATGCCAGGAGGGAAGGAACACAAGGAGACATGAAGCTATAATGCAGCATAAATTTTAATGAGTCTAAAGAGAGAAACCAAGCAGCACATGCTGGGAGGGACCCCGGCCAGGCTGCTACAAGGGCACCTGACAGTCAGGGAACACTTCACAGCCATGGGATACGCATCTTCCTCCAAACACATAGGAGGATGGAGATGGGCAGGGCACCACTCCACCTCCTTCAGGATGAAGCCATTGGCACAGGAGAGCAGGAGACAACAGGGACTCATGATGTGGAGAAGAAAGCAGGAGAAGCAGAAGACATCAGCTGGCCGTGTTCCCAGCCAGCACAGGCTGGCACCTTGCCTCCCTCCCTCGTCTGCAGGAGGGCACGAGGGTGCTCAGCCCCTCTGGAAACTCTGGCCAGCAGCTCCATCCTCAGTCCGGCACCTGGCTTTGGGTTCCTGGTCGATGCACTCACGGGACGTCCAGCCCGGCTCTAGCAGGGCAGGCACCTTCTGCCAGAGTAGCGGCCACCAATGCCAGAGAGGCCAAAGCCCCCGGAGTTGATGGGCACTCCCTCCTCACTCAGGATGCTGCCAACAGCAGCGGAGGTGGTGGATCCCACGGCGGTGTTCTGGGGGAAGGAGCTGAGGATGGGGCCGGGCAGGGTCACCACCACGGGAGAGGGTTGGATAATCACCCGGGAGTCCTGGCACTGCCTGACGCAGCGCTCGTTGCAGCTGTTGGCAAGCGGGGTTGGGCCACAGGGACGGCACAGATCGTAGCAGGACATGGCGGCGGGTCGGAGGTGCACCTGGGAGAGAGGGCAGGGAAAGCACAGGCAGCATGTGAGGCACCGCCTGAGAGCCGGCTCGCCAGCAGAAAAGGCACAGCCTGGGGAGCAGGGACAGCCTGCACAGGGAGCAAGGGAGAGTCAAGGGACCTGGTCCCCAGGGAACCCCTGCCTAGAGAGCCCAAGACCTTCACCCACATCCCATGGTGGTGGCGAGGAGCTGAGAGACAGGAACACAACCAAAGAGCGACGGTCTGGGAAAAGCAATAGCGAGCCCAGAAGACAAAGAGGAGAAGAAGAGAAAGAAGAGTGGGGCAAGGCGGTTGCAGCTCACCTTGTTCAGCAAGGAGGAGAAGGCGAGAGAAGTGGATGAGGGACTGTGCTGTGGCACTGGCTTTTATACTGGCCCAGACCGCCCCAGGCCCAGAGGCGCCCTTTGAGCATATAATGTGTTTACCAACAAGCTCATCTCGTATGGAAAGTGCCCCTTCGACTGAAACAGGCTTTGGTTTGATCCGTGCAATGCTGCCCCTCCATTTCCATGTTAATGCGAGGTCTATTCCGCCCTGGAACATTTTTCTATGTGACATAATCAGAAATCAAATTAATTTCATGGACAGCTCTGCTGATTCAGTAATTCTGACGTTTATGGCGATCTGCTTAGAGAGGAATGCATTTTTCCTCCTCTATCATTTTAGTCACTGGCTTGTCTTTCCAAAGCCATTTACAAATTAGAGTGATGCGAGAGTCATCTTTGATAGCTACAGGTATTTTACTGTTTCTTATGATTGCGCCACATCATTTGAATCTCTCATTGAGAGTGAAATATATTTTTTTTTTCATTAAATCCTAATTAGGTCACATACCTTGCATAGTAGCGAATATTTGTCACTCGACATTAGCTATTTCGTTTCAGGAACCGCATCATGTCCTATAACTTTTTGTGTTGCTACCTTCGCATTTTGCAGAATGTCCAGCTGCTTTTAATTCCCAACACCCGCGGTACCATCAGAATGTTTGAAAAGTGTGTTCTTCCAAGTCAGCTTAACACTTTGAGACATTTTTCAAAGCAAATTTCCCCTTAACCCACAGAGCAATTTCTATAAACACTCAGAGTGTTGGGTTTTGGGTTGTTTGGTTTTTTTTTTCCGTTCTTCCAGGAGGAAGCTGAGGTCTGTTTGGAGTGTCTCTTATGTTTTAACATGGAGTCAGAAAATGAAGCAACAACTTGTATGGAGAATCCTTTCCTGACATCAGTCAGACTGAGAATTACCTCACCAAGCTGAGACTGAAGATTTTCAGACTTTATGGACTCATGAGTATGACAGGTCATCTGTTTCTACCGGGCCGGATACTGAATTGCACATTTAAACCCCATTGTGCAATCTCAGACAGTCCAGACACCTACAAAATACAGAAAAAAAAACCCCTCTTCTCACAACAAGATTTTTAATAATTCATGTACTAATAGCAGTGAAAACTGTGACAGAATGAGGATAAAAAACCATCCCATTAAATGTTTGAGGAGAAACTCAATGAAAAAGGTGCTGCCGGTGTTGAGAGATGCTGACTCTAGGAGTTTAGCACAAGAAAATTGTTTTGTTTTTTTTTTTAAGTGAACCAGAGTCGTTCTACAAAGTATTTCTCAGTGGAAACACACTGTTCAGCATCTGGTGTTGGATATTGTTTAATGGGCAATTAGTTTCCTTGGTCTAATTAGGGGTGTAATATGTTTTTATGTACTGGCATAACAATTCAGTATCCAGAACATCTACTTATAGTGTTCACACAACTCTGCTGTAGGAAAGAAATGAAAGCAATTGAGAACGCACGGGAGGACGGCATCCATGCAATTTCTTGGACGCGTATTTTCAGTCGATTTATTGCCATGCCCAAACACAGGAAAGCAAATGCTTCGTTCAGGTGGTAGCAGACAATCGTCTCTACTACATTCAAATAATTTTAGTTGGTTAATCAAATTAAGAAAAAAGAAGAAAGTCTGAGGCTTGCGTGTTTACGCCATTGCATGAAACATTTCTGAAGTGAGAAATGTTTCATTTCACTCATGAAAACAGAGCTGAACACACCACGAGCCCAGCAAAACAGCAATTAAACCGACTGTGAAAGGGTAAAATTATCCACCCAGCAGAGTTCCTACAAAACATCCCACCCGGATTTGCGATTTTATTTTTTTACTGGTTTAAGAGTTCAGCTCAGAGGAAAACCACACTCGTCGGGAATTCATCCTGGAGCAATCATTGAGGTGGAGTAAGGGATCGGTTCCAGGATTAATAGAAATGGTTTTATGGAATATTCTTTCAATAAAAAAAATAAAAAAAAAAAAAAAATATTTTACTTCAGGTTTTCTACCTAGCAATATCAGAATCTTGATCTTTCATTTACGTCCATTACATATTTAAAAGCCACTGAGGCGTGTCTGTCTGCGGATCCCCGGGGCCGTGTAACAATATTGACGTTTCTCTTTTGGCTTCTTTAAAGGAAAGAACTTCAAAGTTAGTCCCATACATTCATTAATGGTTGAGACACACAAAGTGCGTAAACGATGTAAATATTGTGAGTTTATGACAAAATTTAAAGAGTTATGTCACTTGGATAATGACATCATTTTAAATTTGAGAGTCACGGTGGCTCCCTAAGCAGGCAATATTTCATGGCTTCAGAAACCAGGGTTATTAATTTTTTCATTAAAAAGTAGTTTTATCTGTGTCATCATAATCACCTTTCATAAAACTTCTGGAGCAGACCCGCTGCTACTCTGGATTCTACAGAGCGCAGCACCACTGCGTGTCCTGGGCAAGAAAATAAGGTTGGAGTATGAGGTTTTTGGAAATCACCAACGCAAATCATTCGCTTCCTCAAGCATCAGTCTGCTGCCGCAAGCTCTGTGCCTGTCCCTGTTGTTCCCACAAAAAAAAAAAAAAAAAGGGTTTTATACAAATCTTAAGGTTTTCACAGCATGTCCTTCTCAGTGAAAAATAAATTCCTCAGCTCTACTAGGAGAAGACTAAGGTGCCTACCCGCAGAGCTAGAGCCAGACGTCTGCTCCAGATTCACAACCCCGCTGCAAGTGGGCTGCTTCGGGCTAGACCAGGGTCTAAGACTTGCCGCGACACCGAAAAAAAAAAATAAAAAAAATCTTGGTATAGCGTAATCGCATCTATCTCGATGTGCTGTTTAGTCAGAAATCGGTATTTTGTTTCTTATTCTTTAGACAAGGACATTTCTGGGCATCTTAACCCTTCCTGACGCATCAAGGACCATGCTTCGGTTGGTCCCTGGGGTATTTATTTGGGCATCAACCCGGATTAAAGGGTTTGCCAGTAAGAATCAGGGTGAAAAGCTGCAGTCGACGAGGATTTACAAAGATTTTTTTTTTTTTTCATCTTGGAGCTGTTGTGTCAAAAGCCATATAGCTGTCGGCCCACAGGATGAGCTGGTCAGGGAAAGTGTTTCACATACTCCGAGATCTGCCCTTCCCTACAGACAGATTTCCTGTCAAGCTGTTTACCTGCTACTTGTTTTGCTTCTCTAATAGAGCAGTAAAATTTTTTTTTTTTTTTTTCCTCTGTAAATCCCTCCTAAATTATGGCGTGTGTTGGAGGGATCCCTGGGGCAACAACTCTTATCAGGAAGCTCTGCGTCCTCCTTGGATCAAATGTCGTGTCGCAAGTACTCATTAATGATTTATACAGGCCGAGCGCTGTGTTATTATACTTAAAATGTGGTATTGGCTTCAGACACCCATGAATTGAGTAATAATACCCCTTTAAGATAAACAGATCAAAGTCACGTGTGTCATCCCACTAATCAGCTCATAATCAGGTCATGATTCCTGACCTCATAATGCTACTTTCTTCTTTTTTTTTTTTTTTTTTTTTTTTTTTTTCACCCCTCAGAGTCTTGGGTGACCCTGGATCCCAGCAGACGCAAATAAACTCCTTTCCACGGGTTTTTATACCATGAAGGCTAAAGCCTTATAATTTTTAATCCTTTTTTTTTTTTTTTTCCCCTCAGGACACAAGTCATCTCAGTGCCAGATTATTTTCCCCTTTTTGTGACTGTATTTCAAGAGCCGGCCCCTCGTCGATGGCACAACTGCTAGTGGGTTTAGCGCGCTGCCTATTGTCTGCCTGATGTTCTTGTTCCTTAGTCACCTTTCCCCTCCAATCATTTTCAGTTGGGGTACCCGTAAGGACGGAAGACAGGTGGGCTGGGAGCTGGAGCGCACCTCTTAGAAAGCATAAACTTGCCAAAGTACTAAATATTTCCAGTTTTTAAACTCGGAACAGCTGTGGGACGCCTCGTTTTCAAAGCAAATGACTTCTAAAAATCGACATCCTTTGAGGCTGCGTGGCCGCCGAGGTCTCATCATTTTTCAACGGGACTGAACCTTCGCTTTCACTGTAAAGCAGGAGCGGTTTGGGTGACTCCTTTTTTAATTTTGCCTCCTTGGATGGCTGTCGCAGCACCGAATCCAGACTCACGGGGCTCTCAGAGGGAGGATTACAGGGAATCACTAAGCTCTGTATGAGGCAATATCGAAGATCGTGGCCTCTTTAGTGGCCTCTGTCATCGGCCATACCCGAGGAACCTGCATGCTTAGGCAGAGCGAGTTCAGCTTACCTGATATATATATATATATATAGGTGGAAGGAATTTCTTTTTATTTTGCTCCTTAATTTCCGTACTCCTACACTCCAAAGCCGCTGGATCCTAACCTCAGACAGGTGGTATAATTTTGCAGTAGACACTCTGAGCAGTCGGCTCTACGGACGAGGTTGTCGAGCGGAAAAGAGGACTCGCGCTCCCCTAACGCTGGGATTCCACCTGTAGCTGGGTGTAAAAAAAAAATCTCCCTTCGCGGGTTTGATGTCTGATCTTCCGTAAGAACACAAGTAAATCTCTTTGGGCGAGGTGTTCCCACTGCTGGGGTACCACCTTATCTTGTGGAAGATCGGGAGATTTTAATATAACAAGCGTTCATCCTCCACCATCCTTCTGTCAAAATCATTTAATTTTCTTAGTTACTATTTTCCTTTTTTTTTTTTTTTTTTTTAAAAAAAAA